ACCTTTTGCAGTGACACATATGGAAAAAAGTAAAAAGGAAAGAGAAAGTTGCTCAGTCCTGTCCAACTCTTTGCAACCCCGTGGCCTATACAGTCTATGGAATTCTCCAGGCCAGAATAATGGAGTTGGTAGCCTTTCCCTTCTCCAGGGCAGCTTCCCAACCCAGGGATTGAACCCAGGTCTCCCACATTCCAGGCGGATTCTTTACCAGCTGAGCCACTAGCGAAGTCCAAGATAAACCTTGAGAATATTATGCTTTGTGGAATAAGTCAGAAAGAGAAAGCAAATACTGTATGATAGCACTTTTATGTGAAATCTAAAAAATAATATGAGTGTATATGCAAAACAGAAACAGACTCACAGATATAGAAAACAAACTTATGGTTCCCAAAGGGCATGGTGGGGGTTGGAAAGAGATACATTAGGAGTTTGGGATTCACATATACATACTACTGTATGTAAACTAGGTAGGCAACAATGACCTACTATATAGCACAGGGAACTATACTCAATATCTTGTAATAACCTATAAAGGAAAAGTATCTGAATATATATATATATATATATATATGAATCACTTTGCTGTATACTTGAAACTAGCACAACATTGTAAATCAAATCATACTTCAAAAAAAAGAATTGTCTCTTAAAAAAAAAAGATCCTTCCACTTTTAACTAACCACGCTTGGATTATGGATTTCTGAATGGCACACTTCCGTTCTTATTTAACTGCCTCTGGAAAGTATAACTGTGTCCATAAAATGGATACAGAACTATTTCTAGGAAATTAAAGGCAATATAAGAGAGTAGTTGAGGGAATGAAGACTTGAGCTGCACAATCAAAGACTTTCAGAGCTCTGACCTACAGATTTGGAAGATTATATTCTATTATCCACCTAACTGCATCCTTTTAGGGCCAGGTTCACCACTCTTCTTTCTCATCTGCCTTTACCCCAGATCATTTCTATAAAGCAATAGTGGTGAGAATAAGAGTAGAGCCTCTGAGTTCAGGCTCCCTGGTTTGAAGCCTGGTTCTGCCATGGCTCAGTCATGGTCTACCTTCTTGATAACTTCATTTCCTTATCCAGAAAATGAGGATGTTGATATACTTATGCCTTTAGGTTAGTCTGTAGATGTAAAGTGAGTGACTAAACTGAAAGCCTTGACACCGTGCCTTAGACTTAGCATGTATACAGTGAATATTTAAAGAGAAGCAAATGTGTGCCTACAATGATGGGATTGTCTTAGGCAGCAGTATATGGGATAAAAACCTCAGTTCCCGGTCTCAAGGAGCTCATGACCCAGTGGAACAGACAGACAAGTAAATGGTAATAATGTGGTTAATCAGTGACCAGTACTGTGGAAAATGTATGCAAGCCATAGTACCTGGAGTAAACTGCCAGCCTAATTATCAAACATATATGTACTGATATACCAAAGTCCACCAGAAATTTCCAGTATCTAAGAGGAGGATTAAGATAACTTATCATTCATGGCGCTATACTGGGTACATTTCAGCAAAGAAAATATTTTAAAGCAACTGATGTATTGGAAAACAGTGCTTCATTTGAAATGTTCCACATTAAAATTTGTCTCTGTTGGATGCTTAAAACATTTTCCAGGGCCCATTTCCAGTTAGAAATGAGACTAATGTAAACAGTCCAACAATTAACTACATGCAGTTGGCCTTTCTGAACTAAAACACAGTTATTGAGCCCAAATCTATAACTACAAAACATTCTGCCAGCCACAAAAACAAGGCTAGGATCATACCGGAAAGCATATGGATTTCAGAAAGGACAGAAAGTTTCATCTTTTTTTGGATTCCTTTGTCTAATCGTTATTTTAATAGGTCATCCACCTCTTCACAGTTAAGCTCGATGTTGCCATTTTCTTTGCCAACCACAGATACAAACAGATTTCAGTGTGTGAATATGAACCATTTCACAAGAAAAGACAAAATGGCCAATCTAATAAATCTTCAATAAAAGCTAGAGTTTGTTTTTGAATAGGAATGGCAGACTGAGAACTATTAACCTGCTGATCTGCAGATGCTATAAATGTCTGTGACTAGTCAAGCCCATGATGGTTTTGATACAATTTTCCTATTTTTATCATGATAAAAGAAATTCTACATGTCCTTCGCCCTTCTGGAGCAAGGCGATTAGAACCAACTATTCAGGGTACAAGTATAAGAATATTTTTATTACACATATTTCTTTTTCAAGGTATCAGACTACTTTTCTTACACATATTTCTTTTTTAAGTTAGCTGAAAGTCAGGATGCTTCCAGGTGGCTCAGTGGTAAAGAATCTGCCTACAGTGAGCCAGATGTGGGTTTGATCCCTGGGTCCGGAAGATCCCCTGGAAAAGGAAATGGCAACTCACTCCAGTATTCTCTCCTGGGAAATCCCATGGACAGAGAGCTACAGTCCAGCAGTTCCCCAAAAGTCGGACATAACTCAGGGGCAGCAGCAATCAAAAGTCAACCAAGAACTCACCGTTTTGTTTTCCTAAATATTAATTAGGGTTCATTCTGTTCTATATAATACATGGATAGGCTTAAAGCTTAGAAAAATAAGATTCATTTTGAAGGCATAAGAAATGTGTATTTTCGGTCTTAACAAGAGTCTTCATAATGTAATAATTCAAATCTATATACTCTTCTTGAATAAAAGCATTATCAGAATGCTAATGAGCTCAATTTAAAAAAATTCTTTTATAAATGATTGGGAGTGGAACTGGGATTTATACATGAAATGAAGGAAAGTGAAGAGATGCCAAGATAAAAAGCTTAATGGAAATTATGATTAAAACTCAATCTCCTTTCATTGGAAAGTGTTGTAGAATCTGGAAGTATTACTGTGTTCATGAAGGTGAGAGAAAAAAAAAGTTAGCTCTAGTTCAACTCATTTAATACTAGAAAACATAATTGATTTTCATTTTTAAAAACTTAATTAGGTAGTTAATATGGTCCATTAATATCCAGATTTTATACCTGCCTGTGCACTGGAGCATCAACCCAACTTGATTTGCTCTCATCAGCGATTTCATTTTCATGGAGATTCACGAATGGAGAATGAAATTATAACTTTATTCTTTTGCAGAGTTAGATTTTACACATTTCTCCCATTTATTTTACCTGAGAAAGTAGTTTGAGAGAGGAATTAAGAGAACGTTGCCAAAAAGATCAAATATAGAAATGAGTTTGTAATTTTCGGTCTCATTTAGTTTTATATTCAACAGCATGTTAACAATATGGGAAGGAAATTCTTCATCAGTTCCTTTGAAAAGTAACACACAAACTATGATTCCTTTCTGAATCACCAACCATTTGGCCTCAAGTCTTCCCAAGAGCACCTCCTTTCAAGTAATATGCACCCACTACTTGAGGCATGCCTGGTTGTCAATCAAACTTGTCCACTGTAAGGATGCATACATTTATTTTATGTTCTCAATTAAAATTTTAAATAAGCCTGAGCTTATTGCCATGCCAGATAAGCAAGAAGTTTCATCTCTTACTCTTGAGGCTATGCCTTTCCTTTCAACATCTAAGAACCCCAAGGGTATATACAGTCTAATAGAGGGATTCCAATAGTGAAGCTCCAATACTTTGGCCACCTGATGTGAAGAACTGACTCATTAGAAAAGACTCTGATGCTGGGAAAGATCGAAGGCAGGAGGAGAAGGGGATGACAGAGGATGAGATGGTTGGATGGCATCACCAACTCGATGGACTTGGAGTTGAGCAAGCTCCAGGAGTTGGTGATGGACAGGGAAGCCTGGTGTGCTGCAGTCCATGGGGTTGCCAAAAGTTGGACACCACTGAGTGACTGAACTGAACTGAACTGAGAGGGATTCCATCTGATTTCCATATCCAAGCAGAGCTCAGCCATTTACTGTCATAATTTTCACCAACACAGAGTGTGACTAAAGTAAAATTCCATAAAATCTAAAGGCCAAGGAGATATTTCTGGCCCACATCCCTGTGGGTGGATGGGAATGAAGAATCACACCTTGGAGGAAGCTGATTCTACCATGTTGTATCTTTGAATGAGGCTAAGTTCCTTCCTCAGGCCAAGCTTAGGCAAGGAGTCTCTTCACTTGAATTCCAGGTTTACAATTTAATTTTAAACTATCCTCCAAGACACCAGCTGCCCCATGTCACAAGAGGCCCAATAGCCCACCATTTGAGGACCCCCAATCAGCCTCCCTTTTATTTTTGCAGGGATTTGAATGTCAAGTGTGAACCTGGGAAGCTTCTCATCTACAGACCTCGTCCACAATGTGCTGTTCTTAGTCGCTCAGTCATATCCAACTCTTTGTGACTCGTTGGACTGTAGTCTGCCAGGCTCCTCTGTCCATGGAGATTCTCCCTGCAAGAATACTGGAGTGGACTGCCATACCCTCCTCCAGGGGATCTTCTCAACCCAGGGGTTGATCTCAGGCCTCCCACATTGCAGGCAGATTCTCTACTGTCTCAGCCACCAGGGAAGCATCTATCACAGGCTATTTTTAAAAAACTGTTTAAAATTTTTACTTTATTACAGACTTTTCTACTTGTAATCATTACATAGGTTTTCAACCTTTCATTTTTCTGCTCCATTGGATTCCATTTATGGCCTCGTAGGTCCCAGGCACTCCGAGCAGTAAAGGTCTTCTTGCCGTTACCTGACATTGGGCCTTGACTGCTCCCAGAGGGTCTAGCTTCCCTGCCCTCTCTCTGGGGATGAAACTATGTTGCTGCTGGTAGTGACTTATTTTTTCAAGGGTGATCCAGGAGCAAACAAACAAGCAAACAAAAACAACCAGCAAATACAAATTGCAAGCACAAGTTAAATTTTCAGAGGAGACATCACACTACATTAAGGTACAATGATATATGATCATTCCTTCCTGGCAATAGTGTATAAGTCACTTTGCTAGATATATTATTCTGCCCAGGCTGCCACACACCATAGATTGGGTGGCTTAAATGACAGAATTTTATTTTCTCACAGTCTGGAGCCTGGAAGTCCAAGATCAAGATGCCAGCATGGTTTGGATTCTGGTGAGCACTCTCTTCCCAGCTTATAGACGGCCACCTTCTGCTGTGTCCTCAGGTGGCAGAGAGGTATAAACTCTCTGGTGTCTCTTGTTACAGGGACACTAATCCCATCGACCAGTCTGCACCCTCCTGGCCTCATCTAACCCTAGTTACCCACCAAACAGCCCATCTTCAAATATCATCACTTGGAGAGTTAAGCTTCAGTGTAAGAATTTGGGAATGAACTAAACATTCAGTCTTTAACAGTAGATAAGCCTTATTGTCATTTTTTTTCTTGGCTAACATTTAGAAGATATTCTTTGTTTAAGATTTATTTTATTCCTGTGATGTATCATTTCAACCATGGTGAAACTGACCAACAACGAAGATTTTATATGAGATCATTAATATTGTGAAAACTTAAATAGAAAGAAATGCACATTTTTATCCAAATCAACTCAATCTCAATTTTCCTTTTTCCAATTTATTGCTTGTTGTCATACATGATTTTTAGAGAAAGACAGAGTATCCCAACATGGAAAAAGGTATAAATACACATATATGTTATCTGAATGTGGTTAGATATAGAATATACAGAAAAATGTTTTAAAATTCTGAAATTTTCAACCATTTCTCTAACCAAATACGTCTGAACACGTTTATCTAAGAATTCTGAGGTTTCTTTCATCATGAATAAAGGCACCTACAGCTTCACTTACATGTATTTTTATTTTACACACTTCATCAGGGACAGCAACATGACCCATTCTAGTCAAAAACATTGACAACTCATTACAATATAAAATATTAACATTAAACTAACATTGATATGAAATCCCTACTATACAAAGGCTGATAGGAGAGAACTAGAAGCAGTATAATTCAACATTTATCTTATCTGTATTTATGCAATTTCCAAACAACTGAATAATAATAATAATATTGATAGTATAACTTTATGCAATGAGACTTTTAGTTAATTTAGGAGAAAAATTACTTCCCTAGGCCCCCTTTCTAAAAACATATACAGCCATCAGAATTCATTCTTAAGTATACATTGGAAAGAAAAATTAGCTTGATATCAAATGTAAAATATCTCAGTAACTTTAGAATCCAGAGACAAAGTTGGAAACAGAAAACTGCATTTATTTTTTGAGGTAAGTACCCTTCTAGGAGCTTTTACAAGCCATTATGCTATTTAGTCTTATAGCCTCTCTGTAAGTGACAAAATATCTCAGTTGTGCCATTAAAACGGGTATGACCCAGTGTGAAGGGCCAGGAGATCTGAATTGCCAATATTGTTCTGTACGCCTCAGAGTGCCCAGGTATGCCACTATTTTATATTAAGGGAAGAAAAGATCCATGAAACTTTTTCTAAGGTGGGCTGGAGATAGTTTTCTATACAGGAGCATTTCATTTGCTTCAAATGAGTTTAAGGTACCATTTGTAAGACAAATATTATGGCTTAATTCTAGTGTAGGAGAGATGGTGCCAAGCAGTGGGAGGAGCTTACCATGGGTCATCCCAGATGTGGCCAGGTCTCTAGTCTTGGAACCAGTACTTGGAATTTCATAAGACTTTAAATCCTTGGGAACTTTCTTATGTTCCATGTTCTATGTGCTTTGTCAGAGACAGCAAGGCAGAAGGAGCTGAGGAGACTGTGTTTCTACATCCAGGCTTGGGGAAAGAGGGACGCCTAGGGTAGCTCATGGGGCAGCAGTTAACTGCAAGAGAGAAAGAGAGAGAAGGATTGACAAAGAATGATGGCCTGTTGCACACCAGGTTCTATACTGGGCAATCTGTGTGCATCATCCCATGAAAAGAGTACAACAAATCTGTGAGGTCTGTGCACTATTAGTCTCATCACAGGTGGAAAAAATCAAGACTTGATACTCAAGTCCACATACTCATCACAGTTGGGGTTTGAACTTGAATCTGATTGTGAAGCCCACATTCTTTTTTCTCTCCCATATGTGCAAACATACCATATCGTTTCTACTACATCTCAGAGCCTTTTTTTTTTTTTTTTGGCTAGCATAAAACCATTAAATTTATATTGCAGGTTGTGCTTATAGCATTCTTATATATCCATCAGGTTCTCCTGCTTTAAAAGACAGCATATCAACCCGAATTTAAACTTGAAACCCGAAGCCATTTTCATAAATGATACACTGCTTGAAGTTTTGAAAATGTCTCTGGCAACTGGCTAGAGAAACCATAGATTCATGATGCCTGCCCCCTGGATATTTATACTTTTGTGACTGTCATTGAAAATTATATACAGGATTGATAAGTTGGAGTTTGTACCTTCTCTAGTTCAAAGGGTTTCCCTTCTACCTGACATCAAGTTTTATATCTCATGACGACAAATTAGATGTTGTCACTGGTCTTAGAGTCAAATTTCAAAGGTAACCTTAACACATTGCTATGTTTTATGAGAAAAGATAAATGCTGAGTCATGTTTCTTATCTTGGAACCTTGGGAGCTTCACACTTCTAGGTCCTGGGGCCGTTCACCAGTGGTTGCTTGCTTAAGGTGGATGGCTTGGTCAGACTCCTGAGATTCTCCACTTAGCATTCTATGCTAGTCTGGCTCTGCCTTCAGCTCTTCCTTCCAACAGGAAACCATCACAAGTTCTTGAATTCTCTCTAGCAACAGCCTTTTTCTTGCCTTTGAATGGAAGTCATAGCTCTCATCTGTGCTACCTGTAGGGGAGAAAATAGTCGTAAATTCTTACTTAATTCTTCTTCACTGCAGGATTGTCACTCTACAACAAAGTGTCATGGCAAAAAAGCTAAGGAACTAGAGAAAAAGTCATTCCCTTTTGCCTATGACTAGAGAGGCAACGCGGTACCATGGACAGAACACTGGCTCTCAGTCATAGCCCACTACTTCTCAGGGAGGTGGAGGCCACACCTGAGGTTTTGTTATCAGCCAGCTGTGTCCCACTGGGCAAGTCCCTGAATCCTGGTGGCCCGATTTTTTAGACATAAAACAATAATAATACCTTCTCCACCTTCTTAATTTGTTATAAGATTAAAATGAGATGGTATATGAAAATGCTCTGTAAAATACAAAGCACTTAACAAAACTCCAAGCTCCTGTGATGTTACTGATTCCAACCTTCAATAGCCTTTATTGTCTCTCTTACTCATTTGGTACCTCATGAGATACTGATATAATTAGGATGAGCAACTGATTCCAATTTGCCAGGAACTTTCTCGATTTTCACAATCAATGCAGAAAGCCCTGCTTTCTGGAGACCCTGCAGCCCCCAGCAAATCAGAGTTGCTTTTTGCCCTAGCAATAATGAAGTTACTTGATAATAAGGGTGCTGGCTGGTGCTAACATCTTCTTTCACCATCCTCTCTATGGGAAAGACACCAAGTTGTTCCCATATGTCTGGGTTATAAGCAAAGAGGTTTTCAGAGAAAGGGGTAAACTGGGTGGCCATTGTTGAGAAGGAGATAGAAAAATCATTATAACTGATACTTAGCAATATATTAATTTAAAAAACTGAAATTAATCAAGATACCATCCTTAAAATCAGGCCTGACTCACTTTTCTGTGCCCATTGGCAGATCCCAGTGTTCTATGCTGGTTGTGAGAGTGGGAATCTCTGAGCCCAGAGCCTACTCCCAGGCAGCTCTGCTCTCCCCACTTCCTCCTATCCCTTCCCACGCACATCCAGAGAGCTGTCTGGTATTTCATGCACTTTCACAATCATGGGAAATTATTCATCCTGTTGAGATGATGCAGGATGGTCATTTTTTTAAAAACCACGCCAATAAAGCAATTATCTCAACTTGAACTTTGAGCTCCCAACAGCTTTGAGCTGTTCAACTCAGCTCAATTGTTTTTTTCAGTTAATTTTTACTGAAGTATAGCTGCTTTACAGTGCTATACCTATACATACAATCCCCCTACTTTTGGATTTCCTTCCCGTTTAGGGCACCACAGAGCACCAAGTAGACGCCTCTGTGTGGTACAATAGGTTCTCATTAGTCATCTGTATTATACACGGTATCAGTAGTGTGTATATGTCAACCCCAACCCCCCAATTCATCTCACCTCCTCCCTTCGCAACGCCTCAGCTCTGTCCTCTGCACCCCCATCCTCCCCAGGAGCATGGAAAGAGGTTGGCAGGGCCAGGATCCTGCTGCGGTGACCTGCAGGGGTGTACAGACTGCCTGATGAAAAGCCTGTTGTTTTCTTTCGGCTCTGGAGCTCTGAGGCTGTGGGCGTCTCTGTAGTACCATCATGGACCAGTGCAAAAGGACAGATCCAGCCCTACTGCTCTGGCTCTAGTATATTGGCTTATGGACAGAGAAGACATAAAATGATACCGACATGGTAGCAGTAGGATCAATACTTCTCTTTGAATTTCATAGAAGAAATAAAACTTTGGGTGATCAGAGGAGACTTCAGTGGTTCCAAAGCAGTCAGGAAAACAAACCAAGAACTGGCCGAACGAGCTGGATTGCTTTCCTGTGAATCATCAGAATAACCTCAGGCCTCAGATGGGCTGGCACCCATGAGCCCAGGTCCACCTCACCTGTGGGAAACAGGCTTTTAAAAGGGAGAGCTGCCATATCTCCACTTGCCAACTTCTTGGTCTTCCCAGGGTTGGGCATAAGAATCAGAGGACCTGTCTTTATATTTTGTAAAGTTTTTATCCCTCTATGCTTTTAATGACATCTTTCAGAGTTTATTTTTTTTAAATGCTGATAATCTTAATAATGAAATGGATTTTAGAACTTAAGGGATTTGGAAAGGGGAATAGGAACTAAACTGTGAATGTTTTTAATGATTCCCAGCTCTTTCACTGCAAAGGGATCAGTGATGTGCTGAAAATTGTCTAACAGGCACTCTGAAGAGAAAAAAAATTTAAATCTGATTTGTAGTGTTTGCTAGTTTCCATAGTATAAATACTCCCACCATGACCGATTTTGCTGGCTCCAACATACCACTGGAGGGACTCTGTTTTCCTTTGCCAAGGTCTGTCTTACCTGATGCAGGTCCTGAAGATATGTCTATTAAGAATTAAGCTTTATCCAAGTGATTGAAATTAAAATAATTCTATCGAAAATGTTCCTTAACTTTCTTTACTTTCCTTTAGAAACTTGGCATCTTGGTCATATTCTCAATACCCTACCATGCTCATTTTTTTTTTTTTTTTTTTGGCTATTCTCTATGTCTGTTTCTCCACGGCTGCCCTGTAAGCAAATTCTTCAGTACCATTTTTCTAGATTCCATATATATGTTAGAATACGATATTTATGTGTTAGGATACGATATTTATCTTTCCCTCTCTGACTTACTTCACTCTGTATAATAGGTTCTAGGTTCATCCACCTCATTAGAACTGACTCAAAGGCGTTTCTTTTTATGGCTGAGTAATATTCCATTGTGTGTATGTACCACAACTTCTTTATCCATTCATCTGTTGATGGACATCTAGGTGGCTTCCATGTTCTAGCTATAGTGCTGCTATGAACAATGGGATACATGTGTCAATTTTGGTTTCCTCAGGGTATACGCCTAAGAGTGGGATTGCTGGGTCATATGGTCGTTTATTCCTAGTTTTTTAAGGAATCTCCACACCGTCTTCCACAGTGGCTGTATCAATTTACACTCCCACCAGCAGTGCAAGACCGTTCCCTTTTCTCCATACCCTCTCCAGCATTTATTGTTTGTAGACTTTTTGATCATGGACATTCTGACTGGTGTGAGGTGATATCTCATTGTAGTTTTGATTTGCATTTCTTTAATAATAGCGATGTGTTTGTTAGTCATCTGTATGTCTTTGGAGAAATGTCCGTTTAGGTCTTTTTCCCACTTTTTGATTGGGTCGTTTGTTTTTTTGGCATTGAGTTGAATGAGCCGCTTGTATGTTTTGGAAATTAACCCTTTGTCAGTTGTTTCATTTGCTTTTATTTTCTCCCATTCTGAGGGTTGTCTTTTCACTTTGTTTAGTGTTTCCTTTGCATCGCAAAAGCTTTTAAGTTTAATTAGTTCCCACTTATTTACTTTTGTTTTTATTTTCATTACTCTAGAAGGGATGGTCATTTTTTGAAGTCTGTCTCTTGTTCCTACCTAGCTCTTATTCTGGAGAAGGCGATGGCACCCCACTCCAGTCCTCTTGCCTGGAAAATCCCATGGACCGAGGAGCCTGGTGGGCTGCAGTCCATGGGGTCGCAAAGAGTAGGACGCAACTGAGCAACTTCACTTTCACTTTTCACTTTCATGCATTGGAGAAGGAAATGGCAACCCAGTCCAGTGTTCTTGCCTGGAGAATCCCAGGGACAGGGGAGCCTGGTGGGCTGCCGTCTATGGGGTCGCACAGAGTCGGACACGACTGAAGCGACAGCAGCAGCAGCAGCATCTCTTATTCCCTTTCTGTGCTGAGAACTAATCTGTAGCCAGGCTTTTTTTTTCTTCCTATTTTTATGTTTTATCTCTGCTTTTTTTTTTTTTTAATTGGAGTGTGTATGTGTGTATATGCCCAGTTGGGTCTGAGTCTTTGAGACCCCATGGACTGTAGCCTGCCAAGCTCCTCTGATTATCTAAAAATCTTCATGTCATCCAGCAATTCCCTTCCCCCGTCAATACTTAGAACCTCAATTGGCTTTTAGGACAAAGTTCAGATTCCAGAAGTCTTTGGGATACAGCTTTGACCTCAGCCTCTAACTTTAGCTTAAGGTCCTTCCAGGGCCCCCTCATGAAACTTGCACTCTGACACCTCCAAAGTCCTTGCAGAAACTTGAATACTGAGCTGGTTCATGGCTCCAAGCCTTCCCACCTGTGGCTTCCTCTGAGAATTCCTCCTCCCTAGCCCTCTAATTTTAAGTTTATTCTGGGTGTCAAGGTGTCTCAGGGGTTCCCAGGTGACTCAGTGGTGAAGAATTTGCCTGCCAATGCAGGAGACACAGGAGACGTGGGTTCGATCCCTGGGTCGGGAAGATCTCCTGGAGGAAATGATAGCCCATTCCAGTATTCTTGCCTGGGAAATCCCATGGACAGAGGAACCTGGTGGGCTACAGTCCATAGGGTCGCAAAGAGACTCGACTGAGCAGGCACACACAAGCATCTAATCTCTGTAGTTGCAGCATCCTTTGCTGATCTGTATCTCAGCAGTGATAGTAACTACTGACAGTGAGCTCTCTCCCTCCATTTGGGCTATAACCCATTTGGCACGGGGACCACTGCCTTTCTTTGATATTCCCAGCATCTAACAAAGCGTCTGGTTCTATTCTAGATAGTGCTTGCTGTCAGTAGTCAATAAGTGCTTGTTGAATAGGTGCATAAACTAATGAATGATAATTGAAGTAATCATTTTTGATCGCTCTTTTATTCTATTTGTGGCAGGAGGTGAACTTCACAACCTTCTACTCTACCATCTAGATACCTCCTCCCTATCTTGATTCTGAAGTGTCAAAATCCCTTAAAAATTCATTGAAAACAATGTCCACCAGTACATCTGCAAAGGAGATTGTTTCAGTAAAATATAATACAGCATTGAATTAAAATATCAGAGTTCCCAAAAGTGAAAAATCCAGATGCAAGAAAAAAAATGTGAGCTGCATTACCTATGTTATATAAGTAAATAAAAGAGCATACACACAAAAATAAGGTAGTTTCTGGAATCATATGTAAACAGATTTTTACTTTCTCTTTTGTACTTTTCTGTTTGATCTGTTTCACCATGTACTTTGATCATTTTTATATAAGAAAACATTTATATGAGAAAAATGTTAACAGGGATTATACAATGATAGAATACTGAGCCATTCTTTTCCTTCTTTATACTTGTATGTAACTAGCAAACATAAGTGGTATTTTTTAAACTGAAACTAAAGGCAGCAATGTTTCCCACACAGGCAGATTTTTCAGTGTTGCCTATGAACCCACCTCCCGGAAGTGGGTTATCTAATTTATAGCGTCAGTGAAACCTGTTTTCTGGCAATGGTTGCCAGGGCACACCTCCTTCTCTCTTGTTCTCCATCACTCTCACTCTGAAGGCCTAAGGGCAGGAAAGATACTGACAGGGAAGCAAGAAGTAGCATTAGCATCATTTTGTGTGTGCTGGTTAAAAAGGAGCTCTCAGCATGCTCCCCTGAGCACTGAACATGCTTCTGATTCTGCCAGCATCCTTCACAGAGGAACGTCTCCTATTAAGCCTCTGGGAAAAGTCTCAGAGCACAGCCAACAAAAAATAACCACTTCTTCCTGCTTTGGTGCCAGCCTGCACAACAAAGAGTTCCTTTAACTGCCTTAGAAGGAATAGACTCCTCTCCACACCTATCACATTTTATTCTCTTAACATAATGCCACAAACTGAAAAAGGAAACGGGTTGTGAAATAATACAGAAAGTTATTTTTAATCAGAAGAGTCAATTTATCAACATTAAAAACAAAAAAGGAGATTCAAACGATAAGGAGCAGCAGAGAGATTCTGAAAAAGAGCTGCCTACCAAAGGCAGGTGCCAAATAGCACCCCAGGTTGCCAACACAGACCCTGAGACATCAGATTAATCGGTGAGGGTCGAGAGATTACTGACCCCAGGTTTCCATTTTCCTCAGACAGAGCCCCGGTGTCATTGAGAACCTCTGTGGAGAATTTGGAGTCAGGAACCACAGGAGATGTATAAAAATTAGGAGATGGAATAGTTTCCCACCCTGGGGCTGAGACCTGGGTTGGGAGTGATACATCACTGAATCCCTCTTCCCAAGCCATATTGGAAACTCTTACAAGGCTGGAGATGGTGGTTGGAGGGAGTTGTGGGAAGTGTGGAGAAAGAGAGAAGAAAGCATAACCCGAAAGAATTCTGAGCCATTCTAACACTGGAGGTGGGGTGTGGCTTGAGAGCTACAACATATCTTTAGAACTTTCTGGGAGTTTATGTTCTGAAGACAGGTATCACTGAGGAAAGCTTTGAGCCAATGAGGATTTGAGGATCTTCAGGATCCAAACTCTCTCTCTCTCTCCAATTTGGACTGTGGTTCCTGCTCTGTGGACAACTTGATTCTGATAGTCTTGAAGCCAAGACAGAATCTTAAAGAAAGGAAAGAGGAAAAGAATCTGGCTTCTTAAGCCTGGCCCTTGGCTTATAAGAAAAGTGTTAAATAGAACTTCTTATTGTCTGGGACATCCCAGGTACATGCGCTGCAGACACAATGAGTGAGGATAAGAACTTGTTGGATTGAAACCTCAGGTTACCAATTGGCCAGTTGAAGTTATCTGAGGCTCCCTATTGAGTAAACCTTAACTTAAAACTTTCTACTGTTCTAAGCATCAGCCAGACTGTGTTGTAAATCAGCTATCCAATCCGTGTTGAAAGCCATTTCTTCAGTTTCTTTTACAACTCATCTCAGGTTTATAAATTGGCATTTAATCTTGGTTATGAAAACTTGGGACATTAGGGAGCCTCTCTTGGCCTTGTTTCTTCATTTCTAAGAGGAAGACAGACTGGAGAAGGAATAGGTCTCTGCATCAGTTAGGACGCTTTTGGCTGCCAGGAACAGCAAACTCAATTCCAACTGGCTTGAATAGTAAAGATAAATACTAAAGAAAAGAAAGTCCTCATGAAAGGAAGTCCAGAGTTAGGACAGGCTTCAGCACTGGCTGGCTGTGTTAGTGATTCACTGATTTTATCAAGGACACAGGTACTTCTATCACTCTGTTCTCTACCATCACAGTTTGGCTCCTGCAGTGTTGTAGCATGACTGCCCACAGTGTTTGGGGCAACCTCTTTCCAGTATTCTAATCAGGTGGAGGAGAGAAATAGACTCCCTGGGCCTTTCTTAACTATGCAAAAGAACTTTACCAGAAGCTTCCAGCAAATGTTTCCTTAGGCCTTTTTAACCTGGATTGGATCACATACTAATTCTTGAGAAGAGGGATGACATTGATTTAGGCCTATTAGATCCACTCCTGAAATTCAGTTTGTCCCCCTGAGGTTCATGGAGAAGGGTAGATACCTGAATGAATTTAGAATTTTGTTAGGAATGAAAAAGTGAAAATGGATGCCACCTTGGCATCTAATTACCATATATAATTCTTTCCAAATCATTCTTTCTCTCAGATATAGGTTACTGTATTGGGGTGGCATTCCCAATTGTGTGTTGAACATATTTGTGGCTAATTGTTTCTGAGATTTTCTTGTCCTCTGACAAGAGTAGAAATGCAGTATGTTTTTATTTTTGTACTTGCATCCACTTTATAATGCCAACTATTTATATTTGGAGATATCAACTCTTGAAGAATCTTTTTTAAAGAAGAAAACTTCTGAATTTAGGACACCAAGTTTTAGCAATTTGGATGGCCACATTTGACTTTTAAGACTTTTAAAAACTATTTGTTGGAGTTGCCAAAAAATTAATCTGAAGAGTGCTGGTGTTGATGCCATTTCAACTCCTCCAAGTCCTTATTTCTCCATCTAGATGCAAGGATTCTAATACCTGCCCTGCTATGAGATAATGTATGTGAAAGAGTTCTGTAATTTCCTGGTGGCTCAGAGGGTAAAGAATCTCCCTGCAATGTGGGAGACCCAGCTTTAATCCCTGGGTTGGGAAGATCCTCTGGAGAAGGGAATGGCAACCCACTGTAGCATTCTTCCTAGAGAATTCCACCAACAGAGGAGCCTGGCGGGCAACAGTCCTTGAGGTCTCAATGAGTCTAACTCATTGAATGATTAAAACACACACAGTGTAAAGTAAAAAATAAAACAACTAAAGAGTATAAGATATTACTACAGCCAGTGCCTCACTGTCCAAACAAAATACTGATGAGAAAGACATTTCCTCTAAAGACTTCCAGGTCTGCCCGACCGATAAGGAAGGAGGATTCTCTAAAATAAACCTATGTGCAGGAGGGCAGTTTGTTCATGTATTTTAGTGTTCATTGGAAGTAGGTTTCTAGGGTTTCTATGCCTCAGGTATTTTCACTAGGAAGAAGGAAGAGGGCACTTGAATTGAGTGTTCTTTTCTGCCACTTGTAAAACAAAAACTCAAGAAGATACAGGAAGCATCTTGGTTAAGGCAGGGAGAAGATGGATGCTTTCCAAGACATGGAAGTGGGGAAGGAACGGGAAAGGGAAATCTGTGGATTTCATGAGCACCTGAGATTTGAAACCATTCCTTGGCTGTGTCCCAAGGAAGTAACAGACCTATCAGCGGCCTCCAGAGAGCAAAGCCCATGTTGCTTGGGACAGTCCATGAGACATGGGATCTTCTGTACTAAAACCAGGGAAGCACTGGATAAATAGGATGGATTGGTTACCCCAAGGGTAACTAAGTGGCAGCCGTGACGGCATAGAGATAAGAAGACCTTCTCTGGGACTTCCCTTGGGGTCCAGTGGCGAAGTCTCCATACTCTCAATGCAGGTGGCCCACGTTCGATTCCCAGTCAGAGAACTAGATCCTACATGCCGCAACTAAGACCCAGCATAGCCAGATAATAAACACATATTACTTAAAAAGACAAAAACAAAAAAAAACAAAAACTTTCTGATTTGTAGCTCCATGTATAGCTTTTACACCTGGAAGTTACCCATGAGGGAAGAAGGTCTGTCAGTTGCGGCCAAGTACATTAGGGGACTCAGATTCAACTTTAAGTTGTTTTAAAGGAAACAAAGAAAGTCAAGTTTTGTACTGCTGTTTTTTTGCACACCATAGCTTGAGAATTGATATTCATACCTAGTAGACAGGTAAAAGACATCCTCAATTCCTTAGGGAAACTTTCTAGACAGATATAGGATACAGGACTTTTTAAATTTTAGAAGGGATCTAGAAACGCATTTTACAGTGCTGCTTATAATACGTGGCAGCTCCAGTATAGTACCCTATAATCAGACACACTGATATTTCTATAGAAATGTTAATATTTAGATCCAATGAGTTAAAGAATAAATGGGGTTTCCCAGGTGGCTCAGTGGTAGAGAATTCACGTGCAATGCAGGAGACATGATTCAATCCCTGGGTCGGGAAGATCTGGAGAAAGAAAGGGCAGCACACCAGTATTCTTGCCTGGAGAATCCCATGGACAGAGGAGACAGATGGGCTACAGTCCTCAGGGTCACAAAGAGCCGAACATGACTGAAGCCACTGAACCCCCACACTCGCATGCACACACACCCACCCACACACACACACACACACATGGCATAGAGATAAGAAGACCTTCTCTGGGACTTCCCTTGGGGTCCAGTGGCGAAGTCTCCATACTCTCAATGCAGGTGGCCCACGTTCGATTCCCAGTCAGAGAACTAGATCCTACATGCCGCAACTAAGACCCAGCATAGCCAGATAATAAACACATATTACTTAAAAAGACAAAAACAAAAAAAAACAAAAACTTTCTGATTTGTAGCTCCATGTATAGCTTTTGCACCTGGAAGTTACCCATGAGGGAAGAAGGTCTGTCAGTTGTGGCCAAGTACATTAGGGGACTCAGATTCAACTTTAAGTTGTTTTAAAGGAAACAAAGAAAGTCAAGTTTTGTGTTGTTGTTTTTTTGCACACCATAGCTTGAGAATTGATATTCATACCTAGTAGACAGGTAAAAGACATCCTCAATTCCTTAGGGAAATTTTGTAGACAGATATA